CCTGCAGACTTATTCTCACTACTGCCTTCAGTACAGTCCATGCTCATAAAATAATCTTGAGCTAAATGTGCTAATAAAATTCTTTAAAAATATTTGTATTTGAACTGAGATGAACCTATCACATTAAAATAATGTTGAATTTTCTGGCATTGTTCATTGAGACTGAAAACATCTTAGGAGACCAAGTACACAGAAGTAAAGCATATTCCAAACAGAAATGAAAACTCTGTTGCCATTATCAGATTTACCCATAATGCAGTTACATCCATACTTGTGGAGGCATGCTCCTGCACTCAGTCCTTAAAGCACACACACATCCATCCTCACAGAGTCTGTTCACCTTCAATACATTGTTACAAATAATTTAAAGTATTCAGAGTTAGAACTGCCTATTTAAAACTTATTACATGAGATTTTGTCAGGAGAGGGCGATCAGGTTATCTCATTAGTCCAGATTTCTTATGTAAAAAAAGATTTGTTACTCATTTTCAAACACTGTTCTTTCTGGAAATCTTTATATCTAATCATGTGTTTCCTTTGCTCCATCATGATTTGCCATTTATTGTTAATTTAGTCTCAGGGCAGTGGTTTAGAAAATAATTTGTGTGCAGCAGTTTTGAGTCTGTCTTATCAGTGAGTACTGTGACACAGCAAGTTGCCACATCCCACACTGGAGTGCCTGGGATCGAGTCCTCCCGCTGTTTTTGATATGGCTTCTTGCTAATGCACACCTGTGGAGGCAGCAGAGGACGCTCAAGTACAAGGGGCCTTGCCACCCATATAGGAAACCTGAACAGAAATCTAGGCACCTGGCTTCGGCCTGGCCTAACCCTGGATGTTACGGGCATTTGGGAGTGAATCAGAAAAGATTCCCCCCTCCTCTTTTTCCGCTTTTCAAACTTAAAGTTACCCAATTGTTTAGAAGAAAAAAATAATCCAAAAGAAACAGGGATCAGATTTAACAGAAGGGTCAATTAATGTGGATAGGAGAGCCTGTACAGAATGAAAGGGGTTGAATCAAGCATCTCTTCATACAGTGGACACCCTGTATCTATGGACTCCACACGCATGAATTCAACATACTGCAAGTAAAAAGTATTCAGAAAAAATGATGCATCTGTACTGAACATGTGGAATCATTGTCATTATTCCCTAAACACTACCGTGTAGCAATTACTCACATAGTATTTACATTGTATTGGGTATTACTAGTAATCCACACACGATTTAAGGTATACAGGAAGATGTGATTAGGTTGTATGGAAATTCTCTGCCATATAACAGATTTGAATATCTTGATATGTTGGTATCCGCAGGGATCATGGAACCAATCCTTTGTGAATACTGAGGCATTGCTGCATTTTCAAATGTTGCCATGGGGCCAATATTGTGGCATAGTGGGTAAAGTTGCAGCCTGGGATGCCAGCACCCCAGGTGAGTTCTGGTTTATGTCCTGGCTGCTCCAGCTCCCTGCTAAAAGCCTGGGGAAAGTAGCGGAAGATAACCAAAGTGATTGGGTACTTGCCACCCACAAGGGAGATACAGATGAAGCTTCTGGCTTTGGGCTAGTTCAGCCCTGGCCAATGTGGCCACTTGGGGAATAAACCAGAGGAGTAAAGATTATCTCTGCCTTTCAAATAAACAAGTAAATGTTTCAAAAACATAAAATGTTGCCATGTCAATTACTTGACTCTTGTTTAGCATCTAAATACCAGGGTGTGCTGTCTAATGGCATAAAGAAAAACCAGCTTTTAGAGTGTCAAAATTTGATGGGAAGTGTCAAATTCCAACTCAAGAGAAACAAAGAACAATATAATTCATATAAAGTCCGATGTATAGCAAGGAACCTAAAGAGGTGAAGAATAAAAGCACATTGCCTGTTCGATGAGTATAGACGAGAGCATCTCCATACAGTGCTGACAACACTGTTTCCCTTACTTGGGCCACTACTCAGTAGCTAAGCACCATTTGACTGTTATTAGGCATGGAATCATTGGAACATACATTTCATAATTTTTCCTCAAGAAAAGAGTGTAAAGTAGTGTAAAAGAGTATAAAGAGTGTTGCAGTGGTAGTCCTATTTATTTCTTAAAATGTTATCTACATAGTCAGGACTCTAATCTTTCAACATACAGTAACCAACGTGGTTCTTTTGCAGAGGAAAGTTTTGAGATTTCAGTTGCAAAGTCTGGGAATATAACAAGTGTGAAATGGGCAAAATTAAAAACAAATGAAAACACCATGGATAATAAAAGTAAAAATGACTTTTCTTGGCATCCCTAGTGGCCATGCCTAGGAATCCACTTCCTGACTCCTCTGCTGACACTCTGTTCCTGAGTCAGTATGTTCTGACTTCCCTACTGGGGAGAGGTGGAACTGAAGAGATTGTAAAATCTGAATCCCCCCAAAAATCTATTCTTACATTTTACTATAGTTATTCTTAGTTCTATTATCAGAAGATGGAATATGGAGCAGGAGTTATTGTGATTCTTGTATCAATAATGGCATCTTTTCCTCTTCACCCAGAATCAATATTTTCATCACCTTCATACTTTCTCCTTGCTCCTCCTCCTACATCTCAGCAACTTGTTCATCTTTTTTCTTTATTATTTGTCATATGCATGTTTTTCTGTTCTCCATAGTAACACGTATATAAGACTGTAATCATAAAGCTAAAGTATTAAAGATTTGTTAAGTGCCAGACACCTTGATAAGTAATTTTCATGCATTATCTCAATGAATCATCACAGCAATACATAGTATGAGGAGATAATGGTATCCTCTGCATTTCACCAGTAAGGAGTATAAGGCTCAAAACAGCTATTCGATTGACTTCATAGCACACAGCTAGAAAGTAGAGAGGGTTATGAAATAAAGTCTGATATTTTGAGTGCTGTGCCAAACCACCTCTTCCCAGCTCATTCCTCCTACAGAAACCTCCCAATCTATATTTTCTTCCTCCTATGCATCTCTAGAAACAACAGGCCCCTTCTCAAGGACTGGTCTCACTTGCTGAAGGAGGTATGGTAATGATTTGGACTGTGAACTCTAGCAGTTGACTATCTACATTTGAAATTTTGTTCAACACATAAAATTCTCTGTCATCTTTGTTAGATTTTAAGTTTAAGAGTAACACTGTGTCTTATTAATCGTACCTGCTCCATGGTCTTAAATATAGTACCATTTATTTATTTATTTACAGATATGAGATTAACTAAACCTGAAATTTTTGGGACAAGCTAATTCTGCTTGCATAATGGGCCAATGTTGCCACTTTTTTGAATACTGGTAGAATTAGTGAGATGAGAGGACCAAAGCTTGTGTTAATATGTGAGAAGAGTATTAGTAACAAATATACAGCAATAAAACCAGATGATCACAAGGCATAAAAGGTCTACTTCTAATATTGTTACAATTTGTTGGATAAATTACAACTAACTCTCCCTTTGTATAAATCAATATCATCATCTCCATTTCAATGCTGCATATTCTAGCACCTTCTACCTCAATGCTATGTCTCACTGCACCCACCCCTTCTAGTTTATGGCATCTAGTATCCTTTATACCATAAGATTTTTTTTGATGTTCCTGAGCCTCCACTACCTGTTTTGGGGTTCTAGACAGAGAAAGAGTTGCCTTATCCCAGTGTTCCAACTGAACTAGAAATCCTACTGAAGAATAGGAGTTGTTGTCACAGTCTCGCCTTACAGATTGGTCACACTGAATAATCAATATTTTGGAAGGAACCTAAGAAGTTTCACATTGTACAATTAAGATAGCTTATCAGTCTGACGAAAAGTGAAAGGAAAAGTGTTTCTTAAGAGAAGTCTCTTTTTAGTTCAAGGACACATGATAGTCATGGAAAAATCACAGATATTAAAGTAATGTTATTCTCTGACAGTTGTAAATATTTGTCCATAGAGATAGTGGGACTTAAATTCAGAACGATGGAATTAGACTGCCTCACCTAAAGTCATTCATTGCCATGTACACTCTGTGTGATATTTAAAATATAATTTTTCTGTTCTCCTACCTGTACCATGGAACTAATAATATTCATATGATAAAGTTGTTCTGAAGGTTCATGAAATATAAATTATAACCAATATATTAAAACATTTAAATTCCCACAATAAATATTAGATGTTAAGTATGTTATTGTGTTATAAAGAATTCCCACAGTATTCTAAGCATGACTCTAAACAGGGTGTAAATAATATGCTGCTTGCAACAGGGCTTTGAAGGATTTGATAGAATTGTCTGCCCCTATAACCAGTGCTAGAATAATACATTGTTTAAATTTTCTAAAGGGAGTCTTCAGAAGAGTGGAAATATCTGATTTACAAGGCAGACCTGGAATAAAGTGTCAGAGTGAAAGGATAAAAAACCATGCATGGGCCTCAAAATTATTTTATGCACAAAAGGCTTTAAATTCCATTTCTCCATGAATTTTTACACATAAAATCTCACCTCAATGTGTCAGGTACAAAGCTATGTGGATGTATTAACAATCCAACTATGTTAGCAGACTGAAGGAAAATACATTCTCTCCCTTGAGAAAGACAAGCAAAAAAGCAATTGTAGCACAATACAATAAATGTCCTAACATATGTAAATGTAAGAACTGTAGAGAATGAAGCACTTAAGACAGTCAGGGAAAGTGAGAATGTTTTATAAGAAAGATGGTATTGTCTGTGTAAAGCAATGCTTAAGAGCCTGTTTGTCAGGCAGACAAAAGGAATCAGTGGGCAAAGACAACAAGGAGAAAAGGCAAGGAGTCTCTAGATAGTTTAAAGTGGTTTAGTACAACTAATTTATAATACACGGCAGACAGAGTCCAAGGGCATTAGCCTTAGCAGAAGCTAGAAGTGAATTCTGGGGTTTATTATTAGAGATTTTATATAAGAAGTAGTCTGTTCTTAATTCTGCCAGAGGAGTGCAATCAAGGGGTTGATGTGCTCCTAATCAAGAAGTTATTTCTTACATCTTACATATTGCAGGAAACAGAAGTATTCAGAATAACTGAAGAAAACTGACCCAGATGAAGAGTAGAGAAGAACACAGCTTCCAAAGGCAGGATATGGAAAGCGGAAGAATTTTTATATTGTCAGCTTCAGGGATTATAATGGAAAGGTAATCTCTTCTTTTCAGTGATTTTGCTTAAGTTTTAAGAACACGTTTATCTTCATCACTTCATCCTACATACCCACTGCAAACCCTTTGTACAAACCAGGCGTGCCTTTGTTTGCAATGAGGGTAAGAATTTGGTACAGCACATAAGTTTCTGCTTTGGTTGCCAGGCTCCTCTGCTTCCAATCCTGCCTCATGCTAATTTATGCTATAGGGAGGCAAAAGTGATGTCTCAAGTACTTGGGTCCCTGTCATCTATGTGGGAGACTTGGACAAGCCCTCGCTATTCCAGATATTGGGAAGTGATCCAGAAGGAGGAAGATTGCTTTTCAGTCTAAATGAAAACATTTTTAAAAAGAAAACATGAGATACATTACTTGCAATAAATTTTGTTGCAATATACAAATGAACCCACCTCACTGTTCTCCAGCACCATCTCCCCCTAGTCTTAGTAGTTTATCAGATATTCCAGCATCATTATGATATCTATGTCATTTGCTCGTATTTCTAATAAGTCACTTCCACCCCACCTGGGTCTGAAAATCCTATTCCATTTGAAAGCTAGAATAAACAGATTGTTCATTCTAACTGTAGTGATTTGGCTATCTTCACATGATTCAAAGGATAGCAATAAAGTTCATGGAATACTAAGTGTAATGAAGTAAGTATTTCAGCTTGTGATCCTGTCTTTATTACAACTATTCACTTCTTTTATAGTACAAAATAAATACTAGATAATATTTAAACAAACAGATGTGTTCCAACAAAACTTTACTCACAAAAACAGATGGTGATGGTGGGCCAAATGGTAAAATTTGCCTACTTTCCAGGATTAAAAAAAAAGTATTCTTTACCTATAAACTTGGGCAGTTCTGGAGTTGTAGCAAGAAATATGAGAAGCCTTCAAAAAGTCCATGAACAATGTGTGCCATGGAAAACTATGTATAGATATAAAAATTCTAGGTGTAGATCAAAATTATTGGTAACACAATAGATTTTTAATTCCTTGTCTGTTAACATTTTGAAGAATCCCTATATTGTCAAAATATTGACCCCATGGCCCATTTGAATATTGGGACAAGCAGAAGACTTTAATGTAATGGTTGTGAGAACATGAATTCTGAAGTCAGACAACCTGGACTTAGACTTGACTTATATAACTACTGTACATCCTTGGCTAATAGACAAGCATTCTCTGGCCTCAACCTTCTAGCCCATGAAATGGAGGAATACCACATACCTACAATTTAAGATCATTGCTAGGATAGTCCATTTAAAACATGGCAGTCTGACACAACTCAAGAGATGGAGTTATGGTAAAGAAACTGAAGCTCAGGATGGCATGATTTCCTCCAAACTATCAATAGCTTTTGCCAGCTGGAGTTCTATAGCCACAACAGTGCTCTTCCACTATGAAACAGTATAGACCATACTAGGCAACTGTGCCCTGTAGTTTCTGAAGTCAGATAAATTTGTTTGTCATTCTTACATGTCCCAATGCAACTCCCTTTATTCCAGCAATCTGGTATGCTGATCAATGGAGATATAATTTTAATCACTTCAACTAATGTACTGCAATACCGTGCCGTGTTTTTTTTTGGTAATGCTCAATGGCAGGCAGAATGTTATGTTGCATTTTTAATACCTACTTTCATACTTGTTAAAGATATACCCTTGTACTTCAACTATTTTATGAATAAAGTTAAACATGAATGGGGACATATAAAATTGCTGACTCACAATGCAGCATTTAAAGTGTATGTATTGGAGTCGGCAGTGTAGCACAGCAGGTTAAAGCCAGGGCCTGCAGTGCTGGCCTCCCATCTGGGAGCTGGTTCAAGTCCTAGCTGCTCCACTTCTGATACAGCTCCCGGCTAATATGCCTGAAACCAGCAGAGGATGGCTGAAGAGCTTGGGCCCCTGTACCCACATGGGAGACCAGGAAGAAGCTCCTGGCTTTTGACTTTGGCCTGTCCAGGCAGGTCAGAGCAGCCATTTGCAGGCTGAACCAACAGATGGGAAATTTTTTCTCTTTCTCTCTCTTCCCCTCCTCTAACTCTACCTTCTAAATAAATAAATCAATCTTTAAAAAGTAAATAAAATTCATGTATTACTCTGCTCCCTAAATCAAAGTTAGTTAGAAATCATCATCTACTTCCCTTCCAGAAATCTTCTGAATGGAGCTACAGTTTATTGCCACATGAAGTTAATGTCACATGAAATACAAGTGATTCAAGACTGCTTTAGTACCAAAAATTTTCTAATAAATGGAAGAGAAACAATTTCATTCTCCTAAGTCCAAATGAACTATTAATGTTAGTAGAGATTTACCCCTAAACATAACTATGAAGCACAAACACGCCCAGAAATTAGATCACATATATCCTATTTTGTATTTTATCATAATAAAACATGCTATCATCTCAATCATGAATGACTAATACATGTAGTACTTCAGTTTCAAACATTCTCCGCTCTCAACTGAACTCCATCCATGAAAAACTAAGTAACTGAATTACTTCAGATCATTTTTCCATGCAAATTGTTCGGTATCTTGAAAATAACACTGTGACTCTACATAGTGTTTACGCTCTTTGCTTTTCAATTAAATCATTTTCCCTCATAGTCTTATGTTCCAAGGCTGAGCTATGATATTATCACCTGCCCCAAAGGAGTAGGTGGTTCCCCTAGAACAAAGAAATAAAAACTGAGCTGGCAAGTTGACCTCAATTAGGGAGATGAGAGTTTTTTTTTTTTTTTTTTAAGTCTGCATATCACAGTAAGAGAATGAATTAATATCGAATGCCACAAAATCCAAGCCATATTAGGTAATGGAGTTTATATCTGACAGAAAAGAAAAGCCTCAGAAGAAAACTTGTAATGCGTGCATAATTTGGCTAAATCAGAGATTTAAAGGAAGTGGAGAGTCAGAATAAGATTGGTATGTATTTGAGGAGATGCTAATCGCCCAGGATGGTGAGCAAGGGCAAAGAGATCCAGATGGCTGTGGGATATCTAAGACCTTTGTGATCCAATGTATTGAAGCCTTAAGCGAAACTCTGCAAACGACTGTTCAAAAGGAAGTCAGGAGCCACGACATAGTGCTCCAGCCGTGACACGTGTGCAGGGCTGATGCTTATTCCTGACTCTTCCTCAGCTGCTGCTGGAATGCTAGGGACCAAGGGAGTCGAATCTTTAGTGAGTGTACTGAAAAGGCTTACCTTCTGGTCCTGGAGGTCAGAGTGCCTGCAGTTTAGGTAATACAAGAATGCTGGGGCTGGTACTGTGGTTTAGTGGGTAAAGCTGCCGCCTGCAGTGCCAGCATCCCATATAGGCACCAGTTCGAGTGCCAGCTGCTCCACTTCCGATCCAGCTCTCTGCTATGGCCTGGGAAAACAGTAGAAAATGGCCCAAGTGCTTGGGCCCCCTACACCCATATGGGAGACTGGAAGAAGCTCCTGGCCCCTGGCTTCAGAAAGGCCCAGCTCTGGCCGTTGTAGCCATTTGGGGAGTGAACCAGCAGATAGAAGATCCATCTGCCTCTACCTCTATGTAACTCTGCCTTTCAAATAAATAAGTAAATCTTAAAAAAAAAAGTGCTCTATTTTGGGAGAGGGCTCCAAATTAGTCAAAATTCAGTAGAGGACTCAATGACACCTAGAAAGCACTTCATGGACAATCCCTTCTTCCCACAACTATAAACTACATTTAGTGCCTGCATAAAGCCAATTCCAGGGAGAATCTAAATGGAAATGAAGACACAATTCAGAAAAAAATTATGTTTTTTAGAAACACAATGAATCATCTGTAAGAATCTATTAGTGCTATTTATGTAAGAGAGAAAACTTTCAATAGCCTAAACATTCCAACTAGGAATTCATTAAAATGGAAGGAAGTGAGGTATTTCTGATTGGGAAATAGAGGTTTTCTTCAAATTGATAGAATAATGATTCACTAGGAAGGTAAGATCAGCTACAAATACGAATAAGGAAACGTGATAGGCTTAAATAATTCAAAGGTAGTAGTAACACTGGATATGGTCATCATAAAAAGCTTTGGAAGATTCCCTAAGTCTAAACTGGTTCCACAAACTAAGGTCATTTAGCTTAGGAAAAGACAAAATGGATAAAAATCACAATGTTATTTGCATAAAAGATTTTCTAGTTGTAGTCTAAATAAGATTGTTATTCTTGTTTTACATGAGGAGACTGACTCTTGAAGAGATTAAACAGTGTTATTGGCACCACCTGTAAGAGTCTGTTGGAAGTCAGATGATTCCAGAACATGTGACAGTGCACATATCAAGGATCTCTGTAATGTACAATTTTAGGGTGGCAGTTAAAAATACAACAACAAAATAATAGATGTATATTATGCTACAAAACAAACTAGTATGTATGCTTTTTAGATTTCTCAGTATATCTAAAGCAATGTTCATGAAGATATTTGCCAAAGATTATCAATCTCAATACATATTTTTATGCTGAAATATTTTATTGTCAATTCTGAATTGAAGAAATGGTAAAAGTCAACAATAAGCCTTCAAATATAGCTCACAAACTCTTGGCTAACATATAATTCACAAACCTTAAGATGTGTTGGGAAGACATTTCATCTAGAAATTATGGTGCTTGATGAAGGATCCATTGGTTTGAGTCCTAGTGCTGTTGCCAATTCCAGTGTCCTGCTAATGGGTACCTTGGAAGGTAGAAGATGACGGCTTAACTAGTTGGGACCCTATAATCCACATGGGAAACCTAGATTGAATTCTGGCTCCTGGCTTCAATCTCGCCCAGCCACAGATCTTATAGACATTTAGGGAGTGGACAGATGTATGTGAGTGTCTCCTCTCTCTCTCTCTCTCTCTCTCTCTCTCTCTCTCTCTCTCTTTCTCCCCCCCCCCGCCCCGCCCAAATAAATAAACAAATAGAATTAAAGAGGTCAGTTTGTTATGGTCTTTGATATGGGTTTCTTTTTTTTTTTTTTTCCCAAATTCTTCTTTATTTACCTAAACTTCTATTCCAAATGCTCTCTCCTGTACTTTATTAGAAATTTCTAGGGATAATTAATGTTAACCCCAAGACCACCAATTTCTTTATAAACTTCCTGAAAGATTTTGCAAGTAGACAATATTATTAGGTGATGATGACCATAGCTTAGTTTCATTCATCACAAAGTAAATTTGGAGTAGAAAATAACATTATTCCCTAATAGAAAAAAAAATCCAATTCAAAAGGTGATATTACAGTTTAAATTCACAACTGATTTTAAGAATTAAAACATTGGGGCCAGGGCTGTGGTGCAGCGGGTTTACGCACTGGCCTGAAGCATCAGCATCCCACATGGGCGCCAGTTCTAATTCCGGCTGCTCTACTTCCGATCCAGCTCTGCTATGGCCTGGGAAAGCAGTAGAAGATGGCCCAAGGCCTTGAGCCCCTCCACCTACATGAGAGACCTTGAAGAAGCTCCTGTCCTCAGATCGGTGCAGCTCCAGCCGTTGCAGACAATTGGGGAGTGAACCAGCGGATGGAAGACCTCTCTCTGTCTCTACCTCTCCTCTCTCTGTGTACATCTTTCAAATAAAAATAATTTTTTTAAAAAAAGAATCAAACCATTTAGGTCTTTATTAGGTTTTCTACTCTATCTCTTCAAATTTAGTTTTAATTTTTCAATCCTAGAGAATACCAATGTGTATTGGTATTCTTTCTTGGGATAAGTTGCCTTTATCAAGTTCTATTTTTTAATTTCTATAATAGTTATTATGATTTTTATTTCATTTTCTTTTTAAAAATTTATTTGAAAGGCCGGCGCCGCTGCTCACTTGGCTAATCCTCCTCCTGCAGTGCTGGCACCCCGGGTTCTAGTCCTGGTTGGGGTGCCAGTCCTGTCCCAGTTGCTCCTCTTCCAGTCCAGCTCTCTGTGGTCCAGGAAGGCAGTGTAGGATGGCCCAGGTGCTGGGGCCCTGCACCTGCATGGGAGACCAGGAGGAAGCACCTGACTCCTGGCTTCAGATCGGTGCAGAATGCCGGCCAAAGCGGGCCATTTCGGGGGTGAACCAACGGAAGGAAGACTTTTGTCTCTGTCTCTCTCTCTCTCACTGTCTAACTCTGCCTGTCAAAAAAAAAAAAAAAATTTGAAAGACAGAGACAGAGAAAGAGAGCTTGCATCCACTGGCTCACTCCTCAAACACCCACATAATCAGGGCTATACCAGGCTGAAGCTAGGAGCCCACAGTTCAAAGTTAAACCTCTCACGTAAGTGGCAGGAACCAAAGTACCTGACCCATCAGACTCCTGTCCGCTGGGATGTGCATTAGCTGGAAGCTAGATATGAAGCAGAGGCAGGACTCAAACTGGGGCACTCTGACGAAAGATGCAGGTTTCCCAAGAAGCATCTTAACCATGATGCCAAATGTCTGTCCCCTACTTTTTCTCTTTTTTCATGGAATATTTTTGACTACATTTTTTATTGTGCTGATATTTTGAATAAATATTTGACCCTATCATTGTACTATCAGCTGATATGAATTATATGTGAAGTGTTGTTCACAAGTTAGAGCAAAGTCTTGTTTGGAAAATATGTAGTTGTATACAACAGAGGCAAATTGTTAACCTCATAGAGTATCCACACATACTAATAGAATTAGAACCAATCCCATAATTACATCTTCTGATACAAAGATGGAAAGCAATCAGTTACAAATAGTTAAAGGCCAATACCTAGCTAAATTTTAATATTCACAAAGAAATCAATTTTAATTATTATAAAATACTGAATTATGTTAATGTCTGATGTCTTCAGAATTTAAAAGATGCATTTTTCTCACCTGAGGTATGTTTTCACTTTAAAAAGTTAATCTCTCTGTATTAGAAAAACACACATATTAGATGCATTAAATTGTCCAGTTCACACCTAAGAAATGCATATTTAAGGGATAAGAAATAAAAGATTTAGTTGAATGCTTATCAAGCAGGGAGCAGGGATAATTTTGTACCTCATGATCAGAATAATTGACTTACTATAAGATTGTAAGTGATGAATCAAAAAATCCTATAATCAAATTGAAATTTGAATAAAAAATTAAATACAGCAAGAAGGCAAGTGGTAAAAGTATGGCCTGTGACCCTCAGCATCACCATAGATAAAGCTTTGATCGCATGACACATACAAAAATATATAAATATCCCCTTAACCTGTTTTAGAGTTTTCAATTACCTTTATAAATTATTTTTATACATTTTATATCTTATATTATTCCAAACTATGTGGGCTCATGGATCAGTTTCTCTAAAAGCTCATAATTCCAGATTAGTTCATAAAATCAGTTAGCCTATCGTCCTCTTACTGTGAGTTCAATTTCCATTTAGCACTGGCCACTGAATTTGTAAAAGTGTTGGCCTTAAGTGGTATAAATCACTACCTCTGAATATTTACATAGACTAAAATTTTGAGTCTAATAAAGTAGGGACACTTTGCTTTTGGTCACTGTTGTTTCTTTGCACAAGCTGACCTACAAAATGTAGTTATTGAGTAAAATACAACATTTGGAAGTAATGAAATCATGGTACAGTAACTGAAAACACTCAGATTTTATTCAGTAGACATACAATGTATTTAAAGTTCTGTTTATATTGCATATCCATGGTGAGTCAGTGAAGAGGAAAAACTAATGGCAGTTTATGAGTTTAATTTTGTTCCCAAAGTTCATATGTGGAAGTATTAATTTCCAGTGCCTGAGTCTGACTGTATTTAGAAGTAGGACCTTTAAATGAGCTATTAAGGTAAATTAAAGTCATATAAATTGGCACTAATCCCTTGAATGTCTGATGTTCTCAAACTAAGAAGAGAAGATTAAGACACAGATAGAGGTGTATGTGGAAGACACAGGGACAGGAGCAGTTTCCAAACCAAGGGTACTGGCATTAGCAGACACAACTCTTCAATCTTGGTCTCAGACTCCCAGCTTCCAGAACTGTGTGATGGCAAGTCTTTGTTGTTGAAGCCATCCAATCTTTGAAAATTGCTATAATGGACATCAGCAATAATACAGATAGTCATTGAGACATGGCTCAGAGGAGGAGCCATCTGTAGACTTCCAGAATGAAAATATAGAGGAACACATCTGGATTGTTAAATCTTCATATCAAAAGTGATATAATTTTGAGTCTATAACAAACCGTGTCCAAAATGTCTTAAGGGCATAGTCACCTTCAAAAAGGGTATTAATACTATGTTCCCAGAAGTCACAAGATATTTGTGCAAAACTATATGTTAATAGACTCAAATAGAAATGACTTATAATTTGAGTATGTCCAATGGTATCTGGCTTAAGCTCTTCCATTTTTCTTTTTTTAAAAAAAAAAAAAATTGTTGATAGAGAATGAGAAAAAGATTGAGAGTGAACTCCTATCCACTGGTTCACTCTCTACTTGCCACAATCAGGGAACGTAAACCAAGCTTGGAACTCAATACATATCACCATATGTATGACAGGTACCCAACTACTTAAGCCATTACCTGGTAATTCCCAGGTGTTCATTAACAGGAAGTGAGTATCCAGTCTGGAGAATGCAGTCAGAACTCAAACCCAGGTACTTCAGAGTGGGACACCGGGATCTCAAATGGCAGGTTGATTGCTAGGCCGAAGCCCGTCTTTGCTTTTAAGTCAATTTACTGTTTTGAAAAATAGGATTGCTTTACATATCTGTCCCTAGTAGTTAGTTTTGTTGTATGTTTGTCCTTTGGTTTATAATTTTCTCCCTACCTACATAGTTCCTGTTTTGTTCTGTAAAACTGTATTCCACATTATCAACCAAATTGATCTTTTCAACCATAAATCTCTATAAATAAAACACAAAATCAAACCAGCATGCCTGTTAACTGTTGTGATTCCTCACAGGCCTTGGTTCTGTCATTAATTTGGCACTTGAAAAACTCCATATGTGCCTGTTTGCATTTCCCAGAAATAGCTTGACCTGGAAGTAAAATGGAGTCAAGGACATTATGACCAACACCTGGGTGGTACATTGCTCTCCAAAACACAAACTACAGACATAGCACGATTGCAATATCTATATTACAAGCAGTTAACCAAAAGTAGCTGCTGTGCACTTATCTAGCTCTCACAGCATTAATTATATAGCATGCACCAAAGAAATATTTGTTGACTATTGACTTTATGACTTAAGCTATTATTGCAAACTGAACTGAGACACTGATATAGCAATGTATATTAGTGCAGGTATTTCAAAAATATTTTAGCAGAATTTATCAAAGGTTTTTTATAGGATTGTCTTCTTTGTGTAATACCAGATCAATAAATATATCCTTAGAAAATCATAAATTCTACAAAAATCTAAATATGTAAAATACTCTTAATAGATTCTAATAGTAACAAGTTGCAAACAACACAAAAGTGGTAGAGAATAGTTAAATATGTTATACTTGAAAACCACCAAAAATAACTTAGAAGTACCATTTAATACAGTGAAACACACATAAATAAAAGGTCATGCTTTGAAAGAAGCAAATAGAATCAGTGTGTGACTACCATTATATAAATATAACATGAAAGATCATGAAAGAAATCAAATATGACATTATCACTTGTTATAGTCAGGTAATGGAAACATGAGTTTTATTTCTATTATTTTAAGGCAGTTATAATTTTAAAATGAATCTATATCTCTTTTATAAAGGGAAATGGGGAATAGCACTGTAGGAGGTTAAGCCACTGCCCATGATATTCTTACCCAATGTGGGCACCAGTTCATGCCCTGGTGGCTCTGATTTTGATCCTGCTCCCTGTTGGTAGCCTGGGAAAAGCAACAAAAGATATCCCCACTGTTTGGGCCTCTACCCCTGATGTGGGAGACCTGGATTAAGCTCCAGGCTCCTGGCTGTGGGTTGGCCCAGGGCTGGTCATTGCAGCCATCTGGCAGTGAACCAGCAGATATATGCTCACGCTCTCTCTCTCTCTTTCCCTCTGCCCATCTCTGACTTTCAAAATAAATGTTTATATATAATATATGGAAATTATGTTCTACAATGCATAAATCTTGAAATAAGAATTTTTATTATTCATCCTTAAAATTGATATGTATCATAATTACTGATTGTAAGACATCTCAATTACTAGTATATTTACTTTTTTATATATTCTACAATGATGTACCACAATAGATAAATAAAACATATCTCTACCTTTCAAGAAACATGCTGTAAAGGAATATTAAGTGAGTCATAACTTAGATAGCTATGTTTTACAGTATTTCCCATCTACTCCAACCAATCAACTATAACAGGACTAGAAATGGCCAAGATTATTAACTCCGAATTTTACAAAGTCAAGGGTGTTTTGCAGATAACTGCAAATTAACAGCACACTATCAAATAATCTAAAAATCAAGTAAGAAATCAGAAAGGAAATGAGAGAATACTTGAAAATGAAAATGAAGATATAATAGATCAAAACTCAGCATATACAAGTACAAGAAAATGTATAGTTGTAATCATCTATATTTAAAAGATCTCAAATGAATAACCTTCCATCTGATAAACTCAGTAAAATAGTAAACTAAATATAAGCAGAAATAATAAATATCAG